GTTCTTCAATATCACACTGAAACACACTACAACATTTTGCAGTTTTATTGTGCGCCTTTTGCTCGAAAAAAATTTAGGATGACAATAGAAAAATTTTCCGTTTTTTTTTGTTATACCATAAGTGAGAATAGTTTCAGTGCAAGTGGACGAAATCCAAAAGCCGGCAGCGTCGTTGTAATCCGATAAAGGAAAATGTTATTACATCCACTTTAAAATGTTTATTTATGACGGGTTTATCTAAATCCGATGCTTTCGGATAAAAAGTCGATTGGATTTCATAGAGAAAATACAAAAATTTATTTAAGACACTGTCATACCCTTGTAATATTTTATTATTAATGTTGAAATTTTCTTATTAAATCTTCTCAGCGAAATGCATAATTTAAAATAATCCTAGCAGATCCTGTCATTACATTATTCATCCGACAAGGGACGCTTTTCTTCATAGACATTATTACCAATAAATAGGTTCAAATTTTCTGTAAAGCTTTACCTTGAATTGCTGGTTTAATTCAGGAAATGAATAAACATACAGTGTCGAAGCAAAGTGAAAAGACGGTGCTCCATAATTGAAAATTATGTATTCAAATCAGACCAGTTTTATTCATAAGCCATTCGCCTAGTTAGATTATATTTTTCGGTAGCTGTGGCACACTAACCCACAAAAATTCTAATAAACAGCACTTACGACTTAATTCCCTCAAAGTCGAAATCTGAAAATGTTTCTCTTATCCCTCAAGATTTACATTTCTTCCATGCCAAGGTAAAAATCCCTTGAGCTTTCCCGGCATTGACTTCACCGCTTTTGTTTGCTCTTTGTTATAACTTTTTTTCTTATCCTTACACCTACATATTTAACGTAAAAAACTCCAACTTGTAATCTATTTCAGGTTTAACTCTCAGCCATTCTCGTTACTTTGGAACAAAAACAAAACAAAAATACCACCCGCGATAAATATTTAATTGACTCGAAATAGAGTCGATATATCACGTAATTAAGCGGAGAAAAACAAATTTATCTAGCACACCTCATTGTTTTAGAATGTTAAAATAAAAAAATCTTTTACAATCAGATTTAATTATTTTGGACAATTAGAGACATGTCCTTTGCAAGCAGAGTCTAGATTGGAGTGAGTTCTTTGAAGGGTCAAGTCAGGTCCATCCCTTTCAATGTACTTGAATAGCCCTATAAAATTTCTGCAACGATTGGTTCTATAAGTTCCACCTGTGCGTGACGAACTCGTCGTGCCATCAATTTTGATCTAGATTTTACATTAAATAAATTGCGGCGTCTGCAAGAACGATAGTTGAGTGAAAATGTTGGCTTTGCAAACTGTGTGGTCGTGTCAGATCACAGTGAGGGTTCCGTTCTGACAAAGCGATAGATTAGTAAACACACTTCGTATGTGGTCTTGGGTGTGGATTCCGCTATTATATTGTTTTTCTTGTTTGCTTTTCGTATTTAGACGTTGATTAAACGCTAATACACAATGAGTGCTTGTTTAATTAAGTTTGTGGCATCGCTTATGCTTGATGTGATGTTTTTGAGTATAACAGAGCTGATTTTCTTATTTGTATTGAGCTAATAATCTCCCGAGGTAATGGATATCGATTTAATGAAGTTAAATTCGTAACTAAATTATTCATTGCAGGCGTATCTAATATAAGCATCGAGCCAATATTTTGTTAAATTAACTTAAACGGATGTTTTATTCCGACACTGTTGGCTTCCTCGTACAATCGATAATATCCGTAGAACAACCACTAAATTCCTGTTACACCTGCAACCGACTTTTTCAATTTGAGTTTTAATTATCGGTCGTCCTTTCTGCCTAACATCATTCCATTGTCAAAGGCTCAAAGTAAGGGCAAACAATGGAAATATTTCAGAGTTTTGGGCTTGTAGTGGCTCGTATGTTGCTACATTTAGATGTAGATCAAGCGATAGCTACGACCTCCTAATCGCTCGAAGGACATGTAAGGCCTGCTATTACCTTATCTGATAGATTAGAGCACATTGAATAGTTTCTCCTGTTTCCGTCTCTCTTGCCTAAAGGGAGCTTTGCTGATTGATGGGCTGTTTCACCCCCCGTGACATAATCATGATGACACTTGACAATGCAAAGGACGCGAATTAATGACGTCGCCTGTTTTGGTCTTTATCAAGCTCTTCGGTCACATGAAGACCAACGAAAGAATAGAATTTGTCTCATGTCAAGAGTACGCACGCAAGATTAACGGAAATGAATATACTTAATCCTGCTATAAAAATGTAGAAACACTGTAACAAGTTTTAATATATCATGTGAATAAAAAGCCTGAAACCAAACGTTTTTTGCTTAAACTATTTATTTTTTAGAAAAACCAATTATTGATACATGATAAAGTACTATAAAAATGTGATGCTTTATCAAGAAAAAAAATTTCGAAGTTTTCTTTTGTTTTTGAGTTCTACAAAAAAAATTATTTATTTTGTACTCAATGTCAAAGAGTGCTTTTATCTAATATTATACACGACGATAAAGATTGTTTATCTACTCGTGAAAAAAGTCCACTCATGACTTCGTCACTCGTAAACTTAACCTTTTCACTCGTAGATAAACAATTTCTTTATCGTCTTGTATAAAAAATAACTATTTTTTAAATGACAACCCACTATAAAACCATTTTTCTCATCAAGGTTTTAATCTAAGGATTACAACTACCTACTGTATATGTAATTTTTTATTTCTTTACATAGATTGCAATTTTGACCAAAAAAATCGCATAACTCTATGACAAAAAAAATTTGGTTCTCAAAATACGATAACATTTTTTATATTACTTTAATTTATATTAATATTCGGTCCTAATGTTTTGGGAATTTTTTAGATGTTTATAACATTTTTAAAACTTTCTATGTTTTAATCAAATGTAACAACAATTAATAATATAAACAACAATAAATAATCTTCAATGGCTCACAAATTTTCTTCTGCCCACTCTCCTCTGGACAAGAGTAGGATCGATTTCGCTAAGCTTTAAAAAAATTCTTGTACACTTTCCTGTTCAATATTGACCAAAAAAAACTCTTCAGTAGATCGAGCCTGCGGTACATTGGGAAGATTGTCTATTTTAGGTACAAAATTTATATTGTTTTCGTCAAATCAGTTTATAACTTCTCTGCCATTGTGGCATAAAGGCAAATCAGGCCAAAACATTACATCATGATTGGCATGATGTGTATTTAAAACTTCATCGAATTCAGAGAGACATCTTTGAATACAAGTGGTCTTTGAAACAGCGAATTTTCAATCTAATTTTTGCTGTTTGACTCCAACATTATTTTCAATGGCTTCAATCATTCTTTGTTCCCCCAAAACTTTGTGTCGGCCACTTTGGACAAATTAATACATACCCTCTTCTTATTCCTTTAAGGTCCGATAAATTGATGTCACATAAATATTTTGTTCACTATTCATTGTAACAATTTCACGCTTAGGCATTCGCCCAACTAGATTGTAAATGCCTTAACAAATATCTAGCTTAAGACATTTTCAAAAACTTAATTGAAACATCTAAACAACTAAACATAAACAAGTTAATTGTCATATTTTACTTCCAGCAATAACCTGTTTAAACACTATTTGGTGTAAATAAAAACCATCTAAAAAAAATTCTAAAATGTTAAGACCATTATTTTCTGAAGACAAATGATTTAAAAAAAAACGGTTGGTTCCATACTTTATATATTTGCACAATAAAATGTGATGACTTTGGGCTTAACCGCCCACTCGGCTCTTTAAATATTGTCTCTTACAATAACGTAAAAATTTGATTCTTTCTGTTAATTGGATTAGAGATAAGAGTGGCTTAGTCGTGGCTGTCCTGAATTTCCAAAACTGCTTGGAAGCTTTTCGGATTACCGGTCTTTTTTCCATTATGTCCTCCCAAGAGATTAAACAACTTTTTTCGTGGCAAATAATCCAAATATCGATTGAGGCTGCAATAAAAATTCTTGGTGAAACTATGCAATAAGTGACGTTGACAGCCTCGTCAAGTTCCCATCTATATATAAATTTCTGCTTTAACTTCTTCAACGGGCCTTTAGAAATTTATGCTTTCAGTTCGGAAAGTTGCAAGATTCACAATGGCAAAGTTTGTCTTTATAAAGATAAACAAAAAAAAGCAAACAATGTAAGATGTTTCCCGGTTGCGTGACACGAAAACAAAGAAACGAACATGATGTATTATGTAAAACAATCGATAACAAGTGCGATAAAATCCTCAACTTTTGCCTCGTCATGTTTCACTTTTATTATCCCGCGAAAAGTCGCAACAATAAACCTCGCCTGGATCCGATTTTATATGAACGGGAAATCTGTGCAAATCAGAACCAACGACGCACAAAAAGTAAATGAAGTGTAATATTACCAATAACACATCTGTGGGTATCATAAAAAGCCACCATTTTCAAGAGCTTTGCGACTAAGTATCTCTTACAAGCCATGAATTCTAGCAAAAGGACAAACCAATTTTAATTCAGAAAAAATCAGACACGGTCTTGTAAATAATAAACCAGTATAAAGTGAGAAATGCAGCGTCAAAATAACTATTTGTTCACCTAATGAAATGTTCCTTCACTCTCAATTTACACTGAATTACAAATATGAATTTATATGCGAACAAAGCGTATCTTTGATCGTTTGTGCAAACAATTTCTGGTTGAATCTAATGTGTGCACCTACATGCTTTTATGATGGAATATATTCCCACTGCTTACCAGAAATAATTATTTACTTAATTTGTATTCAACAAAAGCAAAATGGACAAAAAGCCAGATTTAACTTTTTTGAAAAAATATTCCGCATTATGAACAGTGACCCATTTGAAATTATTGAAATTACAATATTTATCTATACTATTCTAATGAAATTTGGTTTCTTGTAAAATGTGTAATGGTTTTGAGCAAATTCTTGACAATGCAAGTGTTAATGTAATTTATTCTATGTTTATTTCAGAGGACTGGTCGACTGCTCGGATATCAGATGAACCCGAGTTTTTAGCCCCTATACATAATTTAACAACTCCGGTGGGAAGAGAGGCTACACTTTCTTGCACAGTCAGCAACCTCGGAAAATACAAGGTAAAAAACCCAATAATTTATGAGCTTATTTAAGAAAAATAATCCCTCGTAAAGCTGGTAAAAATCATAGTATTCGCGTCACGTTTGCACATATTAGCATCGCACATGTTCTCCTCGTTTAACTTTATGCAGAATAAGTCGTTGGGTGGTGTTAAACGTAAGAATCGTCCCTTTCCCGGTCATAAAATAAAAACGAGTAGCGATCGGATACGTAAACTTGTGCCGTAACAATAAAAGATGCAGCCGGGCCATTCGAGAAGATTCGTTTATGTTTCCCTCTTTAAAATCCGATAGGAAGAAAGTCTTGTTTTGCCGTTACATAAATATAAGTAGCGAACAGTAAATAGCGAAGTTTTTCGCTCGTTCGAACGAAAGACTAGACTATTACACGAGTGGCCGCCCCACGAAGAGAATTATGGGGAGAGAGTGGAACTTTTTCCAACCCTATGCAGCTGACGAGATGGTCTCGGGGTTTACTCCCTTTAAATTACAACAGTCGCAAGACGTACGACTGCGGTTATACGTATATTGCCGACTTGGATTAAGTAAGAAGACGCTTTTTACCCATTTAAATGAGGGAAATGGGAAATTGGGGTATTTGACGACGCTCTTATAATAACTCAAGGCGAGACCACGAGACCACAATTAATTCCCAGAAAAAAAAAACGCAAAATTATAGAACTCATAAATGCTATAAACAGACATTTAAACCGTCCAAACTCTAAACTACACTTATTTCTAATGAAGTGGACATAAAACTCGCCACATACGTCCACAAATTCCCATAAAAACTGCACAAAGATTGTCTCTTGCAATAACTGACCGTTTTACGGTAACGTAAACCCTTTTATTGAGTATTATTGGTGATTAAAAAGTCCGAACCAATTTTAAATTTTACGAGCACGTTTTATCTATATATTCCGCGAGAAGAAACTAGAAAAAATGACATTTTTCGAATAAATACGAACAAAAGTGCTCGTCTTCAATATTGATATCCTGCAAGCCGCACACCTGCTACATTTTCTTTATCGTCTCGTTTATATTTTGTCCCTTTTTTCATAACCAATAAATAAATTAACGTGGTTTTATTTCGTTCTGAAACCCCTAATTATCTTATTTTTATAACTCGTCTGTCTGATAACACAGATGTTAACGTCAAGCGTGGTGATTACCTTTCTGGGTTGCTTTCCAGTCACGAACCCGTTCTAGATTAAAATTGCTGGATCAACTTTGATTGAAACTAATTGATGAAACAGAAACGCAATTAATTCGGTAAATAAGTCATAGGATACGGTCATACACAATGTTGTTCTGTTTGTATAGTTTCTAAAAATACTCGGATATAACGAGATGAAATTACTTTGCCGATACTTTCGAATATTAAATAACTTTTCACAATGTGCTCTACAAAATTTCTTCGTTAACAGAAAGTTTTTAATGCTTAAATTTTTTATTAAGTTTTTAAACAACACAAAGATTTAAACGATTCAAAATAAACAATAAAGACACAATTTTACCACTAAAGATGTTCCTTTTACAAAAAAATTATACGGTAAACATAATATGTTCAGAGAAAATTATCATTTAAGCCAATAAGAGCTAATTAGTACTTTTTCATTAAGGTAATAATTAGATTCTTTAAGGTTTCTGCTTTTTATTCAACAGATTTTAAATTAAAACACAGTTTAGTATTCGATTTTGTTGGGACCAATTAGTTTCCAAGAGAAAACAAATTTGTAGAAAAAGAAATTTAATTAATACACTAGTAAAGCTGGGACAGTTATAATTTTAATTGGAATTTTTCATTTGTACATTGCTTCGTAATTAAATTTTGTAGAAATTAGAACATCCAATGTTGTTTTTAATACAATATAGTACACAACAATAAATTCCGTTAATTTATTACCTTTAAATTGAACGCAATGAAATAGATGCGTTTTATTTCTGGTTTAAAGTTTAATTTTTTGCAAAAAAATATGACAAAGTTTCTTTGCCTGTAAACAACAAATGCTAAAGCACTGACATACGTTTAATAGTTTTTTTATTTCAGCAAAATTAAATCTGTAGCATAGCTTGGCAGTGAACAAAACATGTCCTTTGTTGGCTGAAACAGGTGTTGCTTTACTTTATGATGATTTTTATTCAGGAACATTCGCATTGTTTGATTTGAAACGTGAATTCTTTTTTGATCAAACTTAGTATCAGACTCGCATCCTTTCAATTTCAGATTTAAATATAGGTCTGAAAATTGGATAAAAATCTGTCTTCAAATATATAGAATTTTTATTACATTTGGCTTAGGTCTTTGAGAAACTTTATGCTCATATTTCGTAAATTTGCACAAAACAATCTCCATTTCAGATAATTAAAATTATGTTTCAACAGTTTTCTAAATAATACATCAGCGAAATGAGGTTGTCACTCAACATCCGTTGTTATGATGTATTAATTTGGAAAAAATTGGTCGAATTTAAAGAAAATTGCCTGGTTAATCTCGACACGCAAAAGCAAAACATTCTCGAGTGGATACAAAAAGCAAAAACGAACAAGAGCTTACAGTAAAATGCACTTAAAGTTTCAATGGCGTCTGATTTAATACAATGCAAAACGAATACCCTCAAGACTCTGCCGTATGCGCGTGTGTGTTCTGATTTATTACTGTTCACCCCCAGGGAGAGGTTAAGTCGCTTTCCATTTCTTGTTGTCAAGATATTTTATTACCACTGTTTTATTTCGCAAACTATAAATGATTCTTTCGAGGATGAGGTGACCACGGCCACAAATCACTCCTCACTAATTTAATTTGAATAAAATATGACTTTTGGTTGCTTGATTTCGAGACTGGAGCAGATAAAAATTTTCTTTCCAACTTTCAAAATGAAATATATGACGGAACTTTATCAGTTTTAAACAAAAGTCAAACTAGGAGCATATAAAGTACAAGAGGCCATTACTATAAAAGTTAGGCTGTTGCAATGATAAATGAATACTTAGCAGACTTGGCAGGTCTGATAAAAACTAGAAGCTAAAAAGACCTTACGTAGATCCTCGAAGAGGGTCGAACGATTACCAACGCAGAAAAAACTCGACTCTATGTTGGCATTAACGGCTTTTTGTTGGTCGACTCGATGAAAATGTTAATGGGCCAAATCGATAGAACGTTTATTGTTTGTTGGTTAAAGTGAAAGAAACGTTTTGCTTTCAAATCGGAGTTTTATAAATAAGCTCTCGTGAGTGTCTAATTTGCAACATGCAAACAAATAATTCTACAACACTTGATATGATGTTTTAAATAATTACTTTCCGGGAATATCAATCAAAATTGCAATGTTTGAGAGTTTCCACAAAACATTGATGATGAAAATGGTTTTGGTCTATTCAAGATAACTAACTAGAAAGTTCTAAATCAACCTCAACAATCACGGAGGAACAATAACATTCCAGAACATCAATAACGTGCTTAGATACATCAGATATGTCTAGAGGAAATTATACTTGGAATATCAATCCATCATGTCGGCTTGCAAAAAGTACAAGGATTTTAGGAGTTTTAACAGGTCGCAAATTAACACACGATTTTATCATCTAAATTAGACTCATTTAACGGATTTGCAGATCGTTAGACCCGGTCCTAAATCCTTATCAAAATATAAATTGTCCACCAGTCTACACCGACATTATTTAACAATTAAACAATATATTTATTTAAATCTGTTCACTATTAGGAAAATTTTGGCAAAACCGATGTTATGATAATTTTTATTCCACACATTCTATGTTCCTTGATATCATTTCCTCGAATGACACAGGAGGGAATATATAATTTGAGTTTAGGGAATCTAAAAATGTCGATGAGGGAAAACCGTCAATCGACACAATGATGTCTACGACATTTCATTTTTCAATGGTTTGAAACCCGGATCCAAGCGTTCTCATTATTTTGTATTGTCAAAGTTTGTTTACGTGCTTGAAGGAAACCTTCCAACTAGTAATAATCTGGAAACTTATCGCGAGAAATGAAACGTGATGTTCCCGTTATGATTCCAGACCGTCTCACTGTTTCAAATGAAAAATGTTTGTTTAGCGAAAATGGATGATTTGAATTATTTCAGTTAATGCTGACGTTTGCCCCTATTAAACCTACAATTGAATATCATAATTATGACAGCAATTGGACTAGCAGTGTTTGCAAATTATCCAAATTATTCAGTGGCGTTTTCGTATAACCGCCACATCATAATAACTCAGAATGGGATTTGAAAATTTATATTTTAGGAAGACTAGAGCCGAGTTCAGCCAGCTGGAAGTTTGTTAAGTGAGGCTAATTTGGATGATGAAATCGTCGGTTAATTTGCGACCTGCTGAAACTAACAAATTCCTTACAAGATATTGCCGAGCTAAACCGCTCAAAATAGACCAAATTTAAAATTAGACATGAAAATTTATTATTATAATCAGAATGAAGGTTAAAACATGACAGTTCAACTCCCACTTTTTGTGTCTCCAAATTTCACTTGTTTTCTTTTTTATTAAAGCATTCCAAGTTAAGTGCTCTCTTATAACGGAATATCTTACTCATTTATCATTAAGGAAATTCTAAACTGTATTTTTTCCGCTCCATTAAGTTCTCTTTTGTTCTTTTATAGGCAGAGTGCATTTATAGTAGTTTTCTAGCGAATACTCTAGTCTTTTATTAACATTTACAAAATTCAGTTCTCTTTTGTATCCTATAAAATTTAAGGAACAGAAAGATTGATGACCTAAACTTGATAAATCCGCTCTCAGTCAAAAGTTGCAATATTTAAATAGCCGTGAAAAGGTCAAGCAATTTGCTTTTAAAATACGTAATGAATTTAAGTTTTTCAGCAATAATTGCTGCTCTGTTAATCAACATTAAAGCTAGAAGCCTCGTTGCTATATGTAAAGTTGCAGTTCGCTCGACGTTTCTAATTTAAATTGCTAATCAGTTAAAAGGAAGAACTGTTCATGCGGCATTTAATATCGAAGATCTGAAAGGATTGTTATAATCGGGTTCTTTGTATTCAAAAGTGTCACAGGATAGCTAAATAGTTCTAAACACCCTCGAATAAATCTCCCAAACCAATCAAAGCAACCACGTGCTTTAACTCGAAAATGTTCGCGTTGTTATATTTTTCTTCGTAATTTTCCGACTGGAAATTGTCAGTTTTTCTTACGGATTTGGCAAAATCCGCTCTTCTTGCAGACAGAAATGTCAATTTTGGGATATTCTCGGTTCAACACCTTTCCTGTTCGGTGACGATTATCCCTCAAATCCCATCTCGATCGTTTTAAATCCTTGCAAGAACACTGCTCTAACATTTTGCAAAATTCAATTAAAACCGTCGGTACAAACGACTGTCTTAAGAATTATCGAAGAGGATCATAAATATCGGAGTAAATCGCACCGTGGGAACGCTCCCTCGTGTCGAAAAACTGGAGTGGACGCTTCTGACAATCCCAGATTTATTGTTTGAATTAGTGTCCTGCAGCTCGACAGATATAAGACAGTTATAGAGGCGAAACATTGGAATGGTACAACCTGTGTCCTGTTCACAACCCCTTTGGAATTTCTGCCATCGATCTCTCACTCACTGTCCAATCTCTCTCACGCTCTACGTGTTCTTAATACAAATTGATGGCAAAGCCTGTTATTGCCTTCCGTGTTCTGCTGATTCATGCACCGTATAGAATTTCGATGGAATATTGTTTCATACTTTCAACACAAAAAAATATTAATTAGCAACTCAATTTGTATACAAAGTTTGCCAACCCAATCACTTGACTCAACTTTTACATATTTAATATCTGTTAACTTAATGAGGAGTTCAGTTTCAATCTACTAATAAGCTCCGATAAATTTATAATAACCTTGTTAGAAACCAGATCAAATTTTACAAACAAAAGTCTGGCTGAATAACAATCACATAAAAATAAAAAAATAAATAATTTTTTTAATGAAAAACCTGCACAAAGAACAAAAATCGTTAAATGTGGTTCTGTGATTATAATTTGGTATTTTTTCTTTCCTCGTTGGCAGCCCGCTTGACCCGTAATTTTTTGTTTGCTTTTCCGAAAGTGCAGATCCGTATTGATGAAATTCCACAGGCATAAAACACGATGCATTATTTATAAGAAGTGGGTGAATATAAGACAGACGGTCGCAGCAGCGCCTAAAAGATTAACGTCGTGACCTAAAACGTGTGGGTGAAAAGAGCTATTATCACAACAATGAAACATTTTAAGATCTTCAATCTGTTTATCTTAACTTTAATAATAATTCGATATTTTTGCTAACAAAAAGATTTAATTGGCCAAATCTCTGTCGACTACAAAAACTGGTTGAGCTTTTACAAACGCTTTATTGTTCAACATTTCGATTTTGATGAGCGTTAAGCAGCTGCTGTGGTAAATACGGCCAATTATACAATCCCCAACAAAGCTCGCTTCGAATAGGATTTGATCTTTTAATCCAAAGAGTTTAATACAATCTCGCCGCAATTACGATTTTAGTTATAAATATGCAGAACGTCGAATGAAATAGTTTCCCTTTACAAATACAATTTGCATATTTAACGGCCTGCGACTTCTCTAATTGTACTTAATTTATAATTAATTACGGGTCGCATTTCACTCAAATTATTTCCAAACAAAAAATCGGATTTAAGAAAACTCGAGTGACAAAACTCGGCGATTTACCTAAAGCCAATATTATTTTTGCCAAGATGAAATTAGAGTTAAGGCGAGATCTGGTAATTACACTTGTCTACTTGTCAAGCGTAAAATTAAAATACACTTTCCCGATCAGATAAAAGCTTCTCGTCTCGAAAGAGCCAATTTAGGTGTAATTTCCAGTGAGTGTGTTATTATGTAGCGTGTGCAAAGTAATCAATTATGCATGACCCTAAATGATTGATTAAAGCTAGTATTTACGTTACAAGCAATAAAAATCTATAACATGAGTTAATTGTGTGTGTTTGCAGGTGGCTTGGGTCCGTGCAGAGGACCAAACAATTCTAACTCTTCATACTAAAGTCGTGACTCACAATTCCAGAATCAGTGTGACTCATGACAATCTAAAAACGTGGCATTTGAGGATTCGTCAATTGAAAGAATCGGATCGTGGATGTTACATGTGTCAGATCAACACCAGCGTCATGAAAATTCAACAAGGGTGTCTGGACGTTTATGGTGAGTCTTCGATTTTACATAAAATCAGTTTTACGTCCTTGCTGGAACGTATATCAATTTATCAATATCACTATCAATCACACAAGCTTTTAAAGAAAAACTATGTACGTGGGTAAGCTTTCAACTTTCGAATTTGTATCAGTGAAAATATTGTAATTCAGACAATGAGTTTCTTTCAAGGAAAATAAACCCCGAGTTTTTGGTTTCTAGTTTTTTTCTGAGCCATATTAGGGTATTTACGTCTATAGACAACAAAAGTGCTTTCAAGAGTTGAAAAAAGGGCGAATTTTTTCTACTATTGTAATAAGTTAATTGCGTAGGCTCCATTAGGATCATCAATTCCCGGTGGTCTACTCTTGTAAAAACTTTAGAGAAAGTTGGGATACTTGTCTCGCTAGGCACATGTGTCTTAGGACCTGAAACAAAGACGAAATCATATTAAAGTGTAAAGTAGATAGAGAGGGGTTATCAGGTTTCAGCAGTTCCCCTCAAGCGTACTTTCAAGCAAAATCCAAGATGATTGGAACTTGCGAGAGGTTTTACAATACTTGAAAAGTTAAAAATCGATTTTTCAGACACTTAATTTTTATTGATCTTAGTTTAAATGACTATTTCCTCGGTTATTTAAGAGAATAGCTGGATATTTTTAGAGGTTTAGATTTATGGTATCGTTTAACAATGAAGGGGAAACCTACTCGAAAGATTAATCCCTGAACTACCTACTTTTATAAAAAAAGTTTTTCCGATTTCGAACTTTTGATATAATGAACGTAAGAAAACCTTGAGTGTTAGAAAATATTTTCTTTAATATGAACTAATTAAAATTGTTAAGACAAAATCTCACTTTCTTCTTGAATATTTACTTTTGTTGGCCCAATTGTTGAAAGAAAATATTAAAATTAGTATAAACCGTAGAAAGGTATTTAATATTTAAAATTAATTAAGTTCTGCGCTCTGGAATCATTCTATTTGTGTGGTGAATTTTTAGAATCTTGTCTTAAAGCAAATGTAATGGTATAAAGAACTGTCATTCGAAGATAAGTAGAACTTTTTGTGCTTAATTTAAATTTAAAAAAGTATAAAAACTATGCTTAAGTTAAATTTGATTTAAAAACATCAACAAACTTTCCGTGTCTTGTTAGGGAGACATATAAATAATTAAAAGTTTAGCAAAGTAATCGCAATGTAATATTTCTGCAACAAATGCAGCTTATAAAATTTAAGCTAGTAGAGTAGCCTAGAATTTCATTAAACTTAAATTAATTTAGTAAAAGATGCAATTAAAAATGTGCACTCTTCCAAATTCCTTTGAAAGAAAAACGCTACATTTAGCCAATTTAACTTTTAAAACTTTTAATTGCGACTTTCCTTTCAAAATTCTTTTATAAATGTTAAAAAATAAGGTCCGTCAAGCTTTATTAAAATAAAATATTAACAATTTTTAATTTTTTTTAATAAAAATTTTTACGACTATCCAATATCGAGTACACCAAGTACTTCATTTAACTCCCTCTATCTTTCACAAGTTTATGTCACGGCGCGCAATGACCTTTATTATGTTTTTATTGAGATTGGGCCGTAAACTGCATCTAACAAATCCCTTTTATGGCCGAATACGTTATAAATACACCAGGGTTATGAAAAATCTTGCACAGTTCCGAGCTAAATTGATGTTGTTATAGTCAACCAAGTACGTTAATGGACTTGAAGCGCATAATAGCCTTTTTCCAAAAAAATTTAGTGCAACAACTTGTCAATGTATTGATGCTGCTAAAAAAAAGTAGAACATAAAACGTAACGAAAATAAAATTTCGACTGTAAAGTTTATTGCCGATACAACGCTCGTGTCGCCAATTATACACATAAACGTGAATTTCAAAAGTTGCAATTCGGTTTTATTCCAGCGATGTATCAAAGTGCTCTTTTTGATAGATCGGACGTCATAAACTTGAGAATTTTATCGCTCAATACAATCACAGAAAAATAATAAGAGTATTTGAATTGACTAACAATACAAAACAAACATAAATAATTTTATTACGACATTCGTAGTTTGTAAATTGAAATACATATTTATTTGTCAACTGATGATAGACAGCTAACCATTGCTAATACATTGATAGTTATCTACAAATACTAAATTCAATGTAACAAATTATTAGCTCTGTTGACAATAAAACAAGTAATTTGAGTGAATAAAAACAGTCATTAATTCAGCGATGCATTTTCTATTTAATGCTAATAACCAGAAATTTTACTTTCTGTTTAATTCACTGTTTTCTATCAAAACCTTTACGATTAACAATTTTTGTACAAACTCTACAATAAAATTTATACAAATACTCGTATATGTATAGCCGTTTGTCTGATAATAATATTGCAACAACATAATTTATTTTTATATTACGCTTGTTTTAGTTATTTACTAGTTTTCTTTTTTTCTGTTTTTTTTTTTATTTTTAGATGCGCGTACATTTCATAGCTTTTGCTTGAAAGATCGCGTTTTTCCAATTCAAGGGTCAAAAAAAGAATTTGTCTTGCCGGCAGTCAATTTTCCGGTCAAATGGAGTGATAATTAAGTTCTCTCGAGCACAACTTATTATCCATAATGGAGTGTTTCCCCCATTTTATGTGTACAGTTGTGAATGTATCGAGAACGCCATATTGATTACAGGAAATCCGGTTAAGAGCGAGGCGCCGGAGATCGCAAACGACAGATTAAAGTTTCCTTTTGTACGACTATTGTTTATTTAACCTTATCGAAATAGGAAACAAACTCACGTTTTGGGCCGTTATTAATTACATCGTTAAACGGATTTTCTCCCTCTAAACATTGCTTTCTATTTATAGCTATCTCTTGCTCTTCCAACAACAGATATAAACATATGATACATGGCTCGTTTACTACGTAAACTTCTGACATTAATTTTAATTAATGTTCATACGGTACGTCTCAAGTTCCCCTCGATATTTGTATATCCGAGCGGCCATTTTTGTTTTAATTATAAGTAAAAAATAGGGTTGAATGTAAGAAACTTAAAACGAGGAAGCGGAACTCACCCGAAAGTTTATCTCGTAAGGAATGCTCAAGTTCGAAGAGTATTGCATGGTTTGCGGTCGCTTAACATAATAAACAAGGTTATGAGAAGACAGAGTCGGTCCGGCTATATGAAATATCGCTAACATAATTCGGTTCAACCAGACACAAGACGCCATTTCAGTTAGGGCTCCATACACTGAATTATTTACATATTACAAGGCAGAGCACGCCGCCATGGGGATAATATATACACAAAGCATTTGCGACCACTTGAAACTTTTCCTGCAATCGAGACTTGCCGATTTTCGTTAAAAATTCATTTCAAATAAATGACAAATTTTGGGCATCTCTGAATACTCAAGATCCTTTAAATCACAGAGTCTTACGACTTGGCTATTGTTCCCTCGAGTGGAAATTTTATTACGGACAATTTCATAATAAATGTTAAAGGACCTTTAAATTTAAAGAGGCTTATCTATCGTTACAAAAATGTTTCTTCAACTTTCAGTCCCTTGCTTTTGGTTTTAAATTACATATTACGAGATCGAGGCTCAGCATTGAGCCTCTTACACCAACTTTAAGTCTTTCCACAAATAGCATTACGACGATAAATGCTCAATTTTAACGACGCACACCACCAAACAATAAATACTAATCTACATTTAACGTAAAAAAAATTAATGTGAAATAAAGTAGGAATGTCTGCACTATCCCGGCGCATCCACCATTTTAGTACCTGCCCAAAATGTATTTACAAAAAATGAAAACCAAATAAAGCTAAACAGTTTATTTTTCTCAACTGTTATTCTACTCTGTTCCAAAAATAACATTAGCATTGCATTACATTTACTTACATCACGTTTGTAGACTTAACAACTCCAAAGTAAATATTTCATTATCTTATATATACGAGTATATACGTCAACGCTGTTTCTGTTAAAACACCAATTAAGTACCGTAATACAAATATAATAAAAATAGATAAAACCTAATTTTCCTTGTTTCTCCACATTTAATTAAAATTTCTGCAATTTGCTCTTTTAATAATTTAATACACTAAGATACGTTTTAAAATGTTTATTTATCAAAATAAAACTTTTGTTTACATTTGAAAAATACCATTTAATATATTCGTATTCTACACTAGTTATTTGTACAACTAGTATTCAAGTCATACTTTTTTTCACGAATTTGCAGTTGATTAACGAGGGCTCTGCCCGAGTAAAAAAATAGGACTTTCAAAACGAGTTGCACACAACATTTTTTTTATAGTGGTAATCGCAAGAACCCCAAAGACCAAAAAGATATCAATTTAATAAATCAAATCGTAATGTATCGCGAGCTCTTTGTAACAAACTCTATAGAAACTATAGAAATATGACTATAGAAATCGTTTAAAAAAGTATATCTTTCTATACGATTAATTGTGATGAAAATTCAACTTTCATAATCACCATGAAAAAAAAATAAACCGAAATAAAATTGTGGGATTATTCATTTAAAAATTTTTGTTTAATAAAAACAAGATTAAATTAAAAAAAAATACGATCTTTTTGCTCTCTCCATTTCATTTGAAACGTCGATGAATTACAATTAGTAAAAACTGTCCAAAACACGAGTTTGTAAAACGGTTTTTTGAATCGTTTTCTATATTTTCTACATCATGTTTGCCGTGCGAGTGACCCTTTGATGTAATCGTCCTCTGAATGGCATCCTAATTCCTCCGTAAACTGATGAGTCCCATTGAGTCACGTTTCGTAGCGTAAAAACCCGCTCAATGTGTCACCAAACCGATCTGTTTGATGTCGTAATTCCTCTCGATGTGGCAAAACTCGGACAAGTATAAATCAGAATCAATCAAGTTTCTGTGAAGAAATGACAAGTATATAATTGAATTCTTTGACCGCCACCTGTGGAATCCGATTTTGAACGAATTGCTTTTCCAGTTTTACAAAACGGA